GGTATCATTGCCCCGACGGCCGATCGCATCGCCAATCTTCGGCAATGTGTATCCCTTATTTGCTCAGCTCAGTCCCTCCCCCCGGCCCGCACGTGGATTCGTCTCCTTGGGCTGATGGCAAATATGGTCGACCTGGTACCCTGGTGCAGGCTTCGTATGAGACCCCTTCAGCTTCACTTATCTGTTATGTGGTTCCCGTATCGGACGACGTTTGACGTCATCTTCTTTGGTGGCTAGAGGGGAAGTCACTTAATAGCTGGTCTGCCATTCCTGCGACCAAAACCGGCTGTGATAATAACAACCAATGCGTCATCTCATGGCTGGGGGGCCTCCCTTTCTCCTCACCAGATCTTGGGAACTTGGCCACCTGCCTTCCGGGCAAATTACATCAGTAGCGTTTTCGAGCTGCAAGCGATATTCAATGCTCTGCAATGCTTCCTACTGTACGTCGGGAAAGAATGTCCTGGTTCGTTCTGACAATTCTACAGCTGTGGTGTACATCAACCACCAGGGCGGCACTTGATCCCCCACAGTTGTGTGTCTTCACTTGCGAGATCCTGTAGTGGGCAAGGGAACATTCAATCAATCTGCAGGCCTTCCACATCGTTGGCCCCGACAACATGTTGGAAGATGCTCTCTCCCGCGGCAAGATACTCCCGACAGAATGGCCTCTTCATCCAGGGGTTGTCAAAGCCCTTTTCGTGATGCTGGAGAGGCCTCAAATCGATCTTTTTGCCTCTCCTTCCAATGCCCAACTTCTGACCTTCTGCACGAGATCTCCACACCCTCAATCTTAGGCCATAGACTCCCTGCAGATCAACTGGTTGGGCATCCTGGGATATGCCTTTCCACCCATCTCCCCGATCCCGACGGTACTTTCCGAGGTCGAATGCAAACATTGTTGGATACTCCTAATCGCACCATTCTGGCCTCGCCAACCATGACAAGGTCCGTCATCCTCTAGTCCTTTCCGACAGACTAGACATCTTTCACCAGCCCAAGTCCGGCATCCTTCATCCAAGATGGAAAGCTTGCGGTAAG